CAACAACATATCGGAGAAGACGATTACAGGCGACTGCGGAGAAGACGATTTCGGCGACGACGATTAAAGGTGAATGCGGAGAAGACGATTTCGGAGGAGGACGATTTCGGCGAAGACGAGACGATTTTCGGGGAAGACGATTTTCGGTACGGAGAAACTTAAACGGAGAAGACAGTTGAGAAAGTTTGTGGTTTTTTTTCTTTTTTTTCCTTTGAGAGGGGAAACTTCCCTCTCTTGTGATCACGGTTATTTCTTACTGACGTGGATTTGTTTTTCATTTTTTAATTAAAAATAATCTCAATTAAGAAAAACTGATCAAAGGTGTTTATCGTAATTTACTAGGGGTGTGAAAAGATTTGAGTAATTTTTGAAAGATGTATTGTATTCTAGTAATATAAGCATAGTTTCATGGGATTTGAGTAATTTTTTCTAAACTAAAAACAATTAAGGGGATCAAAACTCAAGAACGAAACAATAAATCAACAGCTTTGTCTTGAACGAATATGTCTCACCAACAAAAACTCCCTAACTTTTATATGATTTATAAGCAAAACCGAAGAAAACATTACGAATCCATAAATCAATAGTGATTCCTTTTATAGTGAAACAAGCTATGTTGCATTGAATCCAATAAAATGTTCTCACTCATTATCCCCTTTTGGGACAATTTGCTAATTAATCAAAAAAAATATTATAATTAAAAAATAAAAAAAATTAGTATGTATGGCAAAACATGAATCTTTAGGCTTAGGTTAATTTGTTAGAAGTTTAGTTATATTTTTTTTTATTATTCATGCTAATTTCCCGAAGATAAGATACAATTTGCTAACTAACAAAAAAAAAATTATAATTAAAAAATAAAGAAAATTAGTATGTGTGGCAAAACATGAACCTTTAGGTTTAGGTTAATTTGTTAGAATTTTAGTTAAACAAGATAAACAAAAAAACATTATGGGTATATGACACCTACATTTTTTTCTATGTTTTTTTTGTTTGGTCAAATTTTTTTCTATGTTTCTTTCAAACAAAAGTATAATCTATTTTTACTTGGTATCATTGTCCTGTCAAGTTCAATGTATTTTTTTGTGTGCATTGCTCTGTTTTTTTTTTATGTTAGAGACTGTGAGAAACTCTAAAGCAAAATTTGAGAATGCTTTTGCAAAAACAAACTTACTAAACCCGAAACCA